TTTAACCGTTTGTTTAACACATTGACGACCGCGCGCGTTTTGGCTTTTTTGGCCGTGTGGGACCGGGCCGATTTTGCGAGTGCGACCGCCGCACCTCGGATCCGTGAATTTTTATTGATAACTTTTTAAAGCACCAGTGGTACAAAAACATCTCAGTAACAGTCAATGCGTAGAAGGTAATAGAGTATATAGTGACGAAGTTCCGATTAAAGAACATGTAATGGTAATGAAAAAGGAAATTTTAGTCATTTTATCTGTAGTGGATGCCAAAAGCTCTTTTGATGTGGTTATACCAAGTGAAACATGTATTTTTCTGTCTCTTTAGATTTGCATTTACTTTCACTACCCTTTTTTATTGACGTGTTCATGAGAATAGCATGAAAACTATTAATGAACCAAGCCGCCGGTTTCGGTGAGCTTGGAAAACTTCTTCTAAACTGGAGCATATTTGAACAAACAATGACCTATGTCGTTCACAATAATGTTATGTTCTAATCCATAGAAGAGAGACAAACAATTCGGGAAAAAGCTGCGCATGCCCTAGAAAAAGGGATGATAAGGGTGAGACGCGGTAACGCGTCTCAATGTCCAACGAGGTGCGCAAAGTGAGACGCGTTACCGCGTCTCAATGTCGTCAATGTGTTAAATTTATTTGTTTTGAACGATGTAGTTTCTTCATTTTCAATGCATGTTTACTTTAACCTACATACATACATTTAATGTAGGCCCTTTATCAGGGCAATCCCAGTTGGGAAGACAGAGAAAATTAAAGGATTTTCGTCCCCTAACCCCTTCGGGGAGGATAGCATACGGCCCACAGACATGCATGCAGACACATACAAACCGACACACTAAGTTAACGGTTTATAAAATAAGAATGGCGTATCAACAGTCACATGTGATGCGCTAAAATTATATGTTTTCCTCATTTCTGTTCATTGTGAAGGTGTAGGAACTTGGTAGCAGTTGGGAAATTTTCAAAATTGCTTGCAGTGTTCATTCATTTTCAGTGGTTCTGTTGGCAGGGGTGTTATGTAATGGCAGTAATAATTTTCTCGGAATTGTTGTTTCTAATGCATAGAAAATTATCTTTATAGTTACAGCACAAAATGCCAGGCGTTGGTTCCGAATGGAATTCGACGCCAGAGCTAAAAACACGTCAGTTCGTCTCCAACCACACGCGAATCGCTCCCTACAAACAACTGGTGGGTATATTCGTGGTTTTTCGGTTACGTTTACCTGATGCGCTTTGATCTCCCGATAGAACGTCGACCATTAGTTTCAGGAGGGCTTCCAGACGAGAATGAAAGGATGGCAAAGAGAATACATCAAAGATGTCATCAAGGAAGGGCACTATCCAACCGAAGATGAGCTCCGAGACATCGAAGTGAAATGCGATCTCAGTCGAAAGCAGGTAGAAGATTCGTAATACCTTGAATTTTGCTGAAATTCTTGCGCGATTGGCTCTACTCAATTCGATTGTATTCCATAAATGGCTACATATAGTAGTTAGACCTGCATTTTTTTACGATCTGATCCCCTCAAAAAGATACTAGGAAGCGTTCAACCCTTGGACTACTTTTTCAGAAACGATTCAGTGGTGTCTTGTGCAGCAATCTTTTCTTCTAGAAGTATTATAGTTAATCAACCTTAGAGATATGATCGTCTCAGGCGATGTAAAATACGGGATTTGATCCATGGATCGTGCGCGGTAGCGAAATACGGGATTTGATCCATGGATCGTGCGCGGTAGCGGCCCTTCTGCCTAATACACCACCTAAAACTAGAGCTGGGAATCGAAGATTTCATTACCAGTGGTACACTGATACAGTAGTAATCGATCTGGATTAAATAAGAGAACTACGATGAATGAATGTACGCGGTGAAGCCTTCTGCAAGAGGTGTCTGGGGAGCCGCTAATTTGCACATGACAATTATCATAGGCTCCTTCTGAATTGGAAAGCTGTGTTGTTGTCAAAATCTTCCATTATCGCTTTCGCTTTATCCTTAACATTAGATTATTGGAATTTGGGCTCGGTAAAATGTCTTCAATCTCCAGAGCTTCATATTCGCCTTCAGCCAACATCCTCGAAAAATCCCTTTCCCAATTTTTTGATTGCTTTTCAGTGCTTTTATAATAAATCAAGCAGATCCTCCACCCTACGAAAATACTAAGAAGAATTTGAGCGAAAGTCCTGAAAATATCATTTTGTCAATGCTTCGAACGCTGTTCAGCAGCCTGCGCTAGGAATTGCTCCGATAACTCATACAGGAGAAACTCGCACATACCGTGTGAAGGATTGCCATTTTAGAAAAGAGTATAGAAGTTAGCTATGTGCTCAATTTGTTCTCAGTAAAAAGGTCTGGCTCAAAAAAGCCTGTCAAATGGTGGTAGTAACCTTGATTATGAGGCAGAAGTGGTGTAGTGGCAAGTGGCGGTGCTTACCACGCGAGTGGCTCGGGACCGAATCCTGGGTCAGCGTCGTCCGACCTAAGCCTTATTAATTGGTACCAGACTTGTCTGGGAGGATAAAAACACTGACTTGTACATCGGCTGGCCCCCGCAAGTCATTGTATAGGCCACATCGCATTCAAATGCCACTGCGAATGTACAAATGGAAGTAGAATGCGTGCCGCATCCCAAAAAGGGATTGATCAACGGCAAATGCTTTATCCTTTATCCATAGCTATGGAAGTGGTGCACATGTGGTAGTGAAAGGGTCGACATAGAAATGTGAGATACCGTCTATGTGTTTAATTTTTGCAATAAAAAGTCAGTTTTGGAGGACAACTGGCGATTGCCTTCCAAGCAACAGCGGGCTATTTGTTCTATTTTCTGCAAACAAACGCTTCTGATTTATCTTTAACCCTAAAATATTATAGATAAGAGCACCCAATATATAGGAATTAGTTTGTGCTACTGTTTAGTGTTTCTTACTCCTCAATCAAGTTGGAGTACGATAAACACTTGCAGAAGAACAAAGTTTTAAAAAAGGTCAAACTTAGAAAAGAGCTTCATCACCGGAAAATGCACTGTTTGTTCGTATTTTTCTGGTGGACAATCACTTGCGTTCTTCAGAATTTTTCCAAAAATCATATCGCTCTCATTCAAAGGAATTGGAGGCATTCGATTTCTTCATTATAGTACATTTTACGTTTTTTTAATCACTTGCTTGCGTTTTGCTAGTGACGCTAGCTATTCCAACAAGTGTGATAGACGCACATTACACTGTGGATATTCGATTACAAAATGTGGGAGAGATTAGTTGCTTAGCACGCCATTCAATAGCGTGTACTGCACTGCTGCACTATTACGTTTCATACGAACTTCAGTGCGGCCTTTATACGACAACGGCTCGCTTCTTCTTGACCCATGCCCCACCAAACACCGTGACCCGAGCTCTCGGTAGCTCTTCAGGTAACCCTGACAGGCCGCTACACATATAGACATAGCGCTTTATGTGTGGTAGGGATCGTTTTGCCAACCGTGCCGAAAAATAACATTTTATGTAGGAAGGTTATGAATTGTTGCTTCCCTTCACCAGAAGGTGGTCGATAAAGTTGCTCTGGACGTCTTTGAAGTCTTAGGCGACGTAAGATTGCTTAGTCGTTGCTCCCTCCGCTATCCTGAAATCATCGACATGATTTATTACAAAAAGGAAGATTTTTTCAAGGGCACTTTAGTTTTAATTCCACTCATTTAGTTTTTCTATGTTTGTTAGTCTGCCACATTGAGTACATGCTTCTTTATGGGAGATGACTTTAGTAATGATTTTTTGCTTATCTTGATATTTGTTGATAACAATTAATAATTGGTGATCTTTGTCAATTTTTTATTGAGCTATGTTCGCTTCTGCAAAAAATAGTTGTTGCAAATGTGGTCATTTTCTAGGAACTTTGAGTCATTCATTTCTGCTAACCAAAGTCTCATTGTTCAGGTCTTGCGATTCATTGCGAAAGCGTGTCGGCAACCCGAACCGTAAGCCCCGAGATGGCCGACTGCCACCAGCCACTCCTGAGGAAATCCAGCAGACGCTGGAGAAGTTTCAACGGCTCTTCATCGTAATCTGCGGCCGTTATTAGCATCTTCTTACTGAACAATTCTACCTTTACGCGATTACGGTAATCAATCGCGCTGATTGTCCACGATGGCTATCAGAACCGCGTTAAACTCGGCTTTATCTCGACGACGACGACATTCGTCCGCTACCGCTCTGCATTTTATTTGTGTTGACATCATCCAGCGCGATGACGAGTGGTGGCTCAGTCGTACCATATTAGGCAATATGATAACGCGTACGAAGTATCGTGTGTAGTTATTAGCATATTTTCTTGGAGACGGGGGTCGTTTTTAATTCTATTTTCATGTTTGAATGTAGTTGGTTACTGACGTTCATTGGGCCTGAGACATAATATCGCACGTGATTTCTTATTTATCGCCTTACTTCTTCCCTCGTAAGCTGAAGCCGTCTTCCCTGCTGCTTTTTTGTTGGTATGTTGTTTTCTCAAAGGAGCTTCGTGCGCAACGTACATGTTTTGATTATTTTGTTTGTTACTACGTTCAGACAGTTTACGAATTTACGATCATATGAATATGCGATGAAGGACGGAATGTAATTAATTTAAAATTATTGTCGGATACGCGCAGTCCGTACTTGCGTAGTGATGGTGTTGGTGGATGCTCGGTACCTCCTAGGAGGCGCCTCGCCGCTCGGCGCTGAAGTCAGAGACGCTATAGGCCGCGACGATGGGCCCGAGTCGCACGTATACCGTGGCGGTTTAGGCGTCAGCTCGTAAAGGGTTTCCCATAAAACTTTGACCATATTTGATCTGCAAATTCTGTTAGGGTGGTTTATTGCTTTTGATGCTTGAGATTGCAGAAGTTTCGATCTTATTATTGCCTCTTGGTAATGTACATGTTATAATCCACGTCTTTACGATTCGTGTATACATCTCCTGGTGCGAGTGTGAGCTTGCAATAGTGTTGTCTTATCCTCTCACTCTCTCTAGGACGACATTGCGGTTGATGGTTGCACCGGCTTTTTTTGAATTGTAATTCTCTCGTTGCCCTACTGCGGCATAAAGGGGAAGTGATCCAATAAAAGTTATGCTCTGTTGTGACCGGCCCCACAAATTCTGACATCTTGTAATCTTCAGTGTAAAAGCATGTATGAAGCTAAAGTGGTCTGCAATAAAATCGGGTTTGGCTAGAGATAATGTCGTGTGACCAGTATGCTTGGAATTTCTAAAGGACGTCCGTTAGAAATTGATGTCTGTTGGAACACTGGTTACAGTTCTCATTGTAATTTTGATATGATGCACATGCTCAGTTCGGCGATGGGTGGAGATCAGCGAGGACGAAAACTTCAGAGAGCTGGTGTTCGAGGTCGAAAATTTGGCCATTACGTGCCTTGCATCATTTTTCATGATGACCAAATTTTTCTCCATGGTAGCGGCAGCTACAATCTTATTTCGGAGGAATGTCTGATTGTTGGTTTTAAAGGAAGACATGAAAGTGAAGGAATATTTCGCAAAGCAGTAGACCGAACTTTATATGTGTCTTGGAAGGTTTCAACTTGGTACTATCACTGCCGTCCAAAAGAATTAACAATCTTATTCAGAGCATAGTCAAGGGACATTTCGTGACATCTAGTAGCTAAAGGTGTTATCCACATGGGAGGGGTGATGATCGTTTCAGTTAGGACCAGCTTTCTGCATAAAAAAGGATAATAGCAGCATTTGCCGTTGATCAATCCCTTTTTGGGATGCGGCACGCATTCTACTTCCATTTGTACATTCGTAGTGGCGTTTGAAATGCGATGTGGCCTATACAATGACTTGCGGGGCCAGCCGATGTTCAAGTCAGTGTTTTTTTTATCCTTCCCAGCAAGTACACAATTTGCCGACCCGGAGGGTGTGCGCTTGTTGGCCTGGGACTCACGAAGGCCAGGGATTGGATCCCGACGCCTCGGCGTGGTGGGGAGCCGCTGCCAGCTGTAGTTCACTACACCACCTCCCCCTAGCGTCGTGTTCAGTAGGCAATTAAAATTGTTCTAGAACGCTGGCGTAGGCCGTCTTTCCTGAATTTTACATTTCTTTCAATGAAAGGACTTCTCCTATTGCTGATTGGATTGTAGACTCTTTTTCGTGACCTGGACTTTATTAGGTGAGCTTGCTTAGAGCGGTAGAAGTGCGCAGTCGTTGTTTCACGGTTGATGCCGTGGCCTGCGAAGTGCGAGAGATACACGTACATGGAAGTGACAATACGGGCAGAGTTACTTCGAAGAATTGCGGAGCTATACTATACAACACAGGGCGATATGGTTAAACTGATTGCTAAATATACATGATAGAACATCTTGGACGATCCATTTGAAAAAATGCTCAAGTAGAAGTAAAGTGGTTGCAATATTTATGGCACTCTGGTATAACGCTATATACGTTACGTCCTACCATTTCACTTACCTGCCTGTAGCAATTTATGCGAGAGTCATAGGGATTATTGGAACGTGCAGAAGCTCCTCTATCTGCGCATTAGGAATGATAAGTACAATAAAGTAGTCTTCGTGGTGCGCCACCAAAGGACTATGTGCATGGTGGAAGCAGTCTTATAGTAACCTACGGGCCTAGAGAGTGGTGGACAGTCACGGTGCGCGTATGCATTCAAGGTGTTAGCTCCGTAATCTCCGTTCTCCCCTAGCTATATTAGATGAATCCGGGTGAAGGGTCATGGGGGGACGCTGGGACCATCCCTTCACGCTGACGACATCGTCGCCTTGATAGCGATAGTAGAGAGGAACAAGCCAAGGTGCAGAAATGGCAGAAAGTCCTGGCAGAAGGTGGGCTCCGGCTGAATGTCAAGAAGACCAAGTTCCTGAGCTCTGAAGAGGGTGCAGAGCCGATCGTGGACGGCCATGGTGAGACCATCGAAAGAGTGGAGGACTTCCGATACCTTGGGAGCGATCTGGCAGCCGACGGTAGTGTGGATCAGGCGGTGAAGGCTCGGGTCAACGCTGCATGGATGAAATGGAGGGAGTCCACTGGAATCCTCTGCGATCGAAGGTGCTCCAGAGCGCTCAAAGGGAAGGTGTACCGGACAGTGGTAAGGCCTGCGATGCTATACGGCAGCGAGTGCTGGCCCCTGAACAAGAATCACGAAAGGCAGCTTCACTCTGCCGAAATGAGGATGCTGAGATGGGCCTGCGGCTGGACGCGGCTGGACAGGGTCAGAAACGAGGATGTCAGAGCGGTCATGCAGACTGCCCCTGTCCAGCTGAAGGTACGGGAACAGCGTCTGCGATGGTATGGGCATGTGCTAAGGAGGCCACAGGACCATCCGATAAGAACAGCGATGGACTTCGAAGTGCAAGGCAAGCGACCGCGAGGAGCCCCAAAGAAGAGGTGGAAAGACGTAATCAAGAAGGACCTAAGTGAAGTCACGGCCACAGAAGATGCCCTGGACAGAGCAAAGTGGCGACGACTGACAAAGACAGCGGACCCTGCGACTGCGCGGGACTAACGCTAGGGAGAAGAAGAAGAAGAAAAAAGAGTCGGGTGGAGTAACTGACTCTGGAGGGAAGTATTAGCACAAAGAAAACAAGCACAAGCGGCGTGACTAAGCAGATATCGCATTTTTGAGCCCACGCCGTGGAGTGAATGGTGTGGACGTACTGTAATGCGTTATATTGAATTGACGCCTAACCGCTACAGTATGCGGTGCGACTCGTCCTCTGCCGCGCCTGCGTCTCTGACTTCGTCGCGCGACTAGCCTCTTGGGGGTAAACCAGAACAGCATCCCAGCATCCACCAATCATTCGATTCGAAATTTTTGGAGTTGCTAAGGAAGGCGTCAAAATGCTTTTTCCTGGACAACCTGCACAGAACCCTTCTAGCTCCTATGCGATCACTCCACGAGTCACTAGATCGGTTTCGGGCTGTAGGGTATACAAGAGAATTGCAAAGCCTAACCAGAAAGGATCGAAGCCGTGCTTTTCTAAAACGGTTTTTGGTGTCGCGTACCGCAAAGACCGCTCCAACGGAACCCTGGGCGCGCCGGCGCCTGCGAAGTACTGCAGACATGACCCACTACGATCTATCCGTGATCGTGCGGAAACGCACGGGCCGTTCGCAACGGCACCATCACGGCCTGTCCCGGTGTTCCCCGTCTGTCATCAAGGTTCTGCCCCTGTTCGTCGGTTCTGCAGACTCGCAGGGCGTTAGCCCTTAGAACTCTTATTCTGGATGTTATTCTTAGTCCAATCTATGTGGTCGATCGGCGGGTCGAGGGAAGCGACCCGACGTGAGTTAGTTTAAGGAGTTACTAACCTTACTTGTATTAATCATTAGTTCATAATACATTAAGAGTAGTGCAATCATAAATACTTAGTAGTGCACTTGTTAGTGTTGTGTAGCAATAAGGGTTAAGCCCTACACATTATCTA